CTTGCCCACTTTTCCCAGGAAGAAATTTTTCCTACTATCCAATCTAAACCTCCCCTGACGCAGCTTGAGCCCATTTCCCCTCATCCTATCACTAACTACTTGGGAGAAGAGCCCAACACCCCCTCCCTGCCCCCTCCTGTCAGGAGCTGCAGAGCGATGAGGTCTCCCCTCAGCCTCCTCTTCTCCAGGCTGAACACCCCCAGCTCCCTCAGCCGCTCCCCACCAGCCCTGTGCTCCAGACCCTGCACCAGCTCCATTGCCCCGGAGGCAACGCAACGGAGGCAGCAAGTCTCCCAGGTGCATTTCAGGGCATCTCCAGCAGTTGCTGCTCTGATGACCACCCTGAAACCATCCCATCACTCCCACAGTTATGGGCTTGCCTTGCTTGAACGGCCTCCAAAGCCTGCTAACCATCACTCGGGCCAACTTCAGTGCCAAGGAAAGGCAAGGGAATAACCCAATCGTACTGAAACACCCGGGCAAAATAAACTTCACATTGCAATCATCTGAAATGGCCTTGGCCCATCGGGGTGGGCTGGCAATTGGCAGTTGTCTCATCTGTGTTCTGCTGGGGGTGAGCTGCCCCATCTTCTAGGGACCCTCCTCCAAAACTAAGGTCTAAGTGGGGCTTTTCCAGCCCCCTGGGTTGACCTTGCGGTCTCCTTCAGGGCCCGACTCACGGCCTGCGCAGGCAGAGCCGCCCCTCACAGCACTCACAAACTCATGACATAGAGCAGAGCCAGCGATGCCCGCCCTGGTAGGGCACTGAGGGGTCTGCAGGGGGAAAGCGGGATGTCGTGCTGGGACAGATGAGGCCTCCTTGGCTCTCCCAGCAGTTCCCCATCGGTGCCTCGCTGTGACCCAGCGAGCCTTGCTGACCCAGGAGCCAGCGGGACCACCGGGAACAGAGACTGTCCCTCCACCAGCGGTGTTTTTAATTAAAGCCAGGCACAAGGCTTTGCACTGCTTCCCAGACAACAAGCGACTATGTCAGCTGTGCAAGAGACTGCTGAGACATTCCCCAGCGAAATCCAAGCCCGCTGTGTCACTAAGACATCAGCAGAACACATACATGCCCTCCGCGTTGCCTGCATTCAATTACCCATTCATTGCAAGCTTGCTTACAGTTTCTGCCATAAGCAGTAGCTGGGACAAATGCAGAAGGGCAAGGGCAGGTCTCGGTGTCACTTCCAGGAAGGCAAAGCTCTTAAATACATGTGCAAATTCCAACCTGAGATCTCTGCGCCTGGGAAATTACCCAAAGTACTGAACAACCCATTAGCTCTGACCCTGGCATAATTGAATCTGGGAATTTAGTAAGAGAGTCTGTCTCTCCTAACAGCACTGAAGATAGAGCCTACCCGATCGCAGATAAATTGCTGGCATTGAGAAAATCTTCTGCAGTAAACCTCTCTGCTGCACTCAGAACGTCAAAGGACATATTCCCGTGGTGTACGGTGCATCAGTCATACAATACTATTAGCTAGCACAGGTGGTATTTAAAGCGATCAGAGATAAGAGTTTAGAGAGACTGCTTGCTAAGTGCACAGATAATCCTGCTCTTCTACACAGGAAACTGTGGCTACTTAAAACCAGATTTAATTTTCTTTATGATTTTTAGGAGAAAATTTAAAAATTCTGCTGTTACGTATGATCCATCCTGTGCAAAGAGCCCTCCTGTCACCTGGGCTGCTCGCAGGGCAGGGGAAACCACCCCCAGAGAGCGGAGCGAGGAAACCTGCGACACTCAACGGCTGTTGACACTGATGGGTTTGGCCACGCCGCCGCATCCCTCGTCTTTATTACAAATCCTGGAATAACTCTGCTGCTGGCTGAAGGTATCCAACCACGTAAAAGCAATACGCTGGGGCTGGATCCAGCGCTGCAGAGTAAATATCCCTCATCCCTGTATGGGATGTAATGGGATGAAATGCCTGTAAGGGCATTTCTTTGCATCGATAGGTAGCAGTAGGGTTAGCTCCTTACCAATGGCTCCGCACACAGTTAAGCATCAGGATAACAGCACCCAGGCAGTAGCAGGCAGCATGTGGAGAGCCGAAGACTCGGCTGAGCGCTCGCGTTTTGTGCTCCCATCTGGCTACCTGAAGAGACAACAGAAAACAAAGCAGGTAGTTGGAGGGGCCGGGGTGCGTGCTGCCCCGGGAGCGAGCCCCACGGCTTCAGCCCCTAAGCGGGGGGACCCGCGCGGTCTGCACGGCTTTGTGCGAGAAGCAAGCGGAGGCCACTGACGGGACACGGCTTCAACCAAGCCAGGGGATGAAAGCTCCTTCTCCTACTCATGCCAGCCCCTGCCAGTGCTTGCATTGCCCTGTTCACCAGGCCAGCCAGCAGCACTGAGGCACTGGCTCATGGAAAAAAAAAAAAAACACCCTACACATCAGTTTTGGGGAATATGTGGCTTGGACAACGCATGTCCAAAAAGGCTGAGAGCATCACTAAGGCTGTTCCCAGGCTACCAAAGCCAACAGGCCCTTGCCACGGAGCCCAGTATTGCTCTCCTGGAAGGAAAACAGATCCCTGGGTAGGGGATGGACCACAGGGACAGCCAGCTCTCATTTTCTGGGCTCTACCACCTCCGACATCCAGCTGTAGGGATCATACCTGGCAGGAACAACCCCTCCCTGCTCACTTCCAGAAAAGTTTGCAAGCATCGCCCCAAGCTCCCCTCCAGGTAAGACGCGCCAGCCTGGCCCGGAGAACCGCTTCCACTTGTACAGGCTGAACCGGCCGGCCTTCGTTAGCACTCAGCAATTGTAGCCATTAAGGGCTCATCTGCACTCCTCACCCATCCCTCGCGGCTGTCTCAACGCAATCCACGCAGCACATCAGCGACAGCCCAGGGCTCGCATGCACGCAGGCAGCATCCCCGGGGAGGCATTACCATCCTTTACAGCGCGCTTTTCTCTGGCTGCAATTTTAAGCTCCGTGTTCTGCAGAGCAGCAGAAGCTGATGGGTCCCTGCCCAAAACACCTCGCAGCTGAGGGGGTACCCTCTCACCCTAGGAGGCTGCGGCACGCAGGTGGCTGGAGCTGCTCCCAAAATCTGCAGGACCGGATCCACCCACGTCACCAAATCCAGGGCCCTCACTCCCAAGCTGATGAAAATCCTTACAGCTACTCTGTTTTCTACCTTTCCTGTACCCCTCAGAAAGCTGTCGCTGTATTTATCGCCTCTTTTAGGCTCCATTTTTCAGGTGCCAAGCCTGGGGTTTGGATCAGACCCTGAATTCAAGCCAAGCTGAGCACCCCCGGGCAATGAAGCGGGAGGTGGGAGTCAGCAGAACGTCTCGGCACCAATTTGCTTCTCAGACAGGGCTGGCACTTCATTAGCTTCAAATGCACTTCACTCCCTCACACAGAGCCTGGGCAGCTTTTGGGAGGCACCTGCAACCCAGCTATTCATCCACTCAGAGTGCATTGGGTCATTTATTGGCTCTATTAGAGCAGAGAAAGGCAGCGTTGCAGGTCCCGCTTTCTTCCCAGGCTGATGCAGAAGCACAAAGAGCTGCTGGTGGAGGGGGACTGCTGCCTTCGGGAGGGGAGAACGATGAAAACCTCTGATAGGCAGGGCACCGATTTCACATGCTGAGAGCTGATTCAATTAGTTATGCAATGATTGCTCTGAAATTACAAATCCACTCATGACAGAAAGAGCTGCTTCACTGCCTTTTTCTGGCTGGTATAAATAGTTTGTATTCTAAATTGAATTTAAAACACCGTGCGTCATGCTGCTGCTAAAATGGGAGCCGCTGTTTCAGTGCTGTGAGAGAAAGAAATATAGGGTGAGTTACCACCTTGGGAAAGTAAAAAGAAGTGACCGTACAGGTGACTGAGTCACAGACAGAAAAATGCAGCCACGTGCCAGTTATCTGCACCGACTTCCTAATTCCCTGGAAATTACTCTGGCGACGTTTGCATGGATGGCAGCTCCTGGCTCGCTTCGAGAGCTTTGCAAAGCATCTCAGCCGGCGGCAGAGCTGAAGCTGAAAGAGAAGGCAGCGCCGTCGGGATCAGAAGGGAGAGCCTGCGTGCTGCTGGGAGCCGTCGAGGCGGCCTCGTAATTACCCTCGCCTTTAGAAGGGCGCATCTGGGCAGCGACAGAGCGCGGTGGGGCGAGGGGACGCGTTTCCGAGCCCTTGGGAGCCGGCTCGGCTGCGTTGGGATCGCTCCCAGCACAGCCCAGCTCACGCTGCATCACAAAGCTGCTGACTCCCCGGCTGGGACCGAGACGCCAGCTTTTATTTAGCTGTCACAGCCTTCAGATGGGACCCTGGGCTCCTTCTCGAGCCCACGCGGGACTCATCACGAGCAAAGTGGAGCGGGAGCCTGCGTGGGGTTGGCAGCGGCGGTGCCCGCCAAGCCCCGCGGCGATATTTCAGCAACAATTAATTTGTTCCGGTTCTGGTTCTATTCCTTGAACAGCTAATTAGTTCTGGCTTGGTTCTAATTTTCTAATTTTAGTCATTTCTAGCTAATATTAGCTCTCGGTCGACCCATGGCTACGCAGCTGGCTTCATGGTTTTATAAAATCATGAGCTGACGTGTTATTATTTACTGCATGATGGATGCAAAATGCTTTCAGCATCCTCCACGGCCGTGTGTGGGACATGGCAGGGCCGAGACCGGTGGCCTCCCGGGAAGGGCTG